TTATTTTGACAGTGATGAATTGAGCTCTTTAGAAAAGTGGAAAGAGAAACTAATTAATTTAGGTATTGCATTTTTATTTTTCTTAATTTTTTATTTTATTTTTATTTTATTTTTTTATTTATTTTTAATTTAATTTAATTTAATTTTTAATTTTATTAAAATATAAATCGTGTAACTATTATATAATTATTACTATTTTATGTTATTCATTTTATTTATAATATGTATTTTTATTTTTATAGGTGGAAGCTGCTTATTTGAACGTCATAATGATATGAATGGTATTGGGTTTTTATTTGCGTTCCAGACTAAAGAACAAAAAGAATTAATGAAAATCGCAAGAGTTCTGTGCCTAGATGGCACCCACGGGATGAATCATCATGGTTTTCATCTTTTCACAATCATTATGCGACACCCAATAACGGGAAGTGGATACCCCATTGCCTTCCTAATAAGCGAATTCAAAAGATCGTTAACATTAAAGAGGTGGTTAGATTTTTTAAAAATCGAAAATGAGAACTTAAATCCAGATATATTCATGGTTGACGACGCTGGAGAGGAGATAAAGGCAATTGAGGAAAGTTTTCCGGACAGTTCTATATTTTTATGTCATTTTCACGTGCTCCGTTCTTGGCGTAGAAGGTTAGGCCATAAGCATGGTGCAAATGTCAATCCAAATAAGGCAATAGTTTGGCAAGATCTGTGGAGACTAATGAGGACAGAAGGATGGAACGATTCAGAAGCACAGCACCAAGTTATGAATGCGATTGATAAATGGCGGGGAATGGGCGATCAAATAATAGAAGAATTTGCAAATTATTTTGAACGCTGGTGGAAACCTAAATACGAAATGTGGATGATATGTGTTAGAGGGTTGGCACGTGACATGATAGACACTAACAATTTGGTTGAAGCTTTCCACCACAAGTTGAAGTATATGTATATGAGAGGATGTCCGGGGCATCGACTAGATGGTGAGGTTTATTTACTTGTGGAGGTTGTTCTGCGGGATATGGATTTTTCGGTTCTTTTAAATGAGTTAAGAATTGGTCAGATGAACCCGCAACAACGCCAACAGCGTATTAGGGAAATTGCCGGAACAAAGCATATAAATAAGAATGATATTTACAAAATTCAACCAGATGTTTGGTTGGTTCGCTCTATAACGAATGATGAAATTGAATACTCTGTCCGTAAAAAAAATTCCATGGACAATAATGATAATAATTTAGATATCGCATTGTACATTTGTACATGTTTGGATTTTAAGAAACGGCAACTAGCCTGTAAACATATTTTCGCTGTGTTGGCTCAGCTTCGTGCTCATGATAATAATATAAAAGATAGTAAATGTGGTCAGCGAATTTAATTTTTTTTTTTTTTTTTTTTTTTTTTTTACTTTAATAATTGTCATAATTTTTTTTTTTTTTTTTAGTGAATGCTGAAATATATGATAAAAATACTGAAATCGCAAAATTACAAGAAGATTTTGCCGCAATTATTATAGAGTGGAAGGAAAAAAAGCACAAGACATCCGAAGTTTACGAGAAGCTTTCCAGCAAGCCACCCAAAATGAAAGAGCAAGAATCGCCCGGATTGAGGTCGTGCCACAAGTTGATAATCAAAGAATCCCTCAAATTGCACCGAATACGAAGTTCAGAAAATTTTAATCATGTATGTGTAAAATTTTAATTGATGCCTGTCATTTATGTGCTTAATGATGCCAATATAATAATCAACTAAATCAACCAATTGATTATTTACTATTTACTAGTCATTGGAGTCACAAGATAATTATTCGAATCATGAAAATTAGATAGAAATAGCATTGTGTTTGAACGTTAAATTAGCGGTATATTAAAGGGTTAAATTGATAGTGTAATGAGGGACGGATTAAGTGATTTTATTTACATAATTGTGTAATTTGTTTGCAACAAATTGTTCACAGGAAATTGATTTGTTATTTTGCATTATTGATGCTTCATTATTCTTGATATATAACTGGTCTCGGTAACTTAATTATCACGAAAGCGAAACAGCATAGAGGCTTGATAATAAAATATAGTAATAAACGACAGAAAACATAATATAGTGTAAAAAATTATTAATTACTGTGATTAGTGTGAAGACAGATTCAAAATTTTCGTTAGAATTGACTTCATAAACTTAAATTTTTTTTTAAAAAAAATTTCAAATGTTCATTGAACAGCGCAACCTTGAATGGCTTTGAATAATTCGTCTAAATCCGATAGGTAATGTAACTCCTAACGATCACGGGTATAAATTGCAAGAACTTGCAACCTTCTTTATCATACTGTATTATCTATTGAGTATTTATCCACTATTTGATTTCATAAATGAGCATAATTATTTTCTTTCTCATAATGCAGCTAATGTTCAAAGGCGTACTAATTGTGTGTACTATAATGGAATTAAACAAGCAAAACTACATACTACATACATATTTCAAGATAATAATATTGACTTTTACTAAAACACGTCTATGGTATTTTACACCTATGTATATATTATCTCAAAAACTAGCCTATTAATCGGTGTGAAGTGTCATAAGTAAAAATGTTTTATGCGCCAAAAAACCCTAACTTTAACCCTAAAAATTAACCCCAATGTGAAAAAATTTACGATAAAAATTTTATATAAAAAACTTAGAAAATATAAAAAACATGATAAAGATATAAAATAGGTGCAAAGCCATCATAGGTGCGTTTTATAATAAATGATAATATTTGAGTTGAAGATGAAAACTTATATATATATAATGGTTCTAAATCTTCAATTTCGACGCTATGTTGAATTTGATGATCAACCTGTGCAGTTACGTAATCAATTTTATCCAATCAGCAATAGGAAGATCGACATCCAATCAAATGATGGGGGGTAAATTAGTAAAATCCAAAATGCGATGCTCACTGTTCCTGAAAATGGAGAACGATACACGCACGGCCTGTTAAAACAGATAATTCAAATGTCGCGGACCGTTTGTCTTTTTTTTTATTTATTTCATTTTTTTAGAAAATAACTGTGGAAGATGCTAAGCGGATTTTGGACGAACAGGTAAAATATCAAGTACAATTTTAAATATTATTTTGCGAATTCGTGTATTTACATTACCATCCGAAAAGACAACATATCTCCAGAAAATAAATACGGAAATTCAGGAATGCACTTCTGAAATTAACGACTTAAGGTTCGAGTGTGAAAATCTGGAAAAAGAAAATGATAAACTTTCTAAAGAACGCGAACTCTATGAGTCACAAGCCGTAAAAGCTGTATCAAAGATGAATAATCGATCGTTACAAGAAACGTGTAGATCGTATGTATTATTTATATATTCTTTTATCAACTGATTACAATAAATATTTATTATATGTAAAATGTATAGGTATCGTTCATCTATAATACTTTATTGCAAATTGTTGGATATTGAACTTCCGGATCCAAAAGACCAATTCATGGATTAAAATGGCAACAATTCTTGGCTTACTTTCTTTTCTTTTTAAAGCCGCCACGCCTCGTCAATTGTATCTGCGATAAATTAATCAATGTGATCTTAAATTTGTAATTTGATAATGTCAATTTAAATTTATCAATTAATCTCTTAAACTCATTCGTTTTTTATTGATCATATTCTTCTTATGAATTACCATCATAAAAGCTTTTTCTTGCTTTCTCTTTGTTCGTGGTGCTAGTGCCTTCAACCTTTTTTCCTTTTTTGGGTCCTCTGAACTTTTCTCGTCCCTCCCGTCCGGCCTTTATGGATTCTATACGTTCTTCATAATCCTGTTTGGCTTTTTTTCGTGGTCCAGTAATAAAATTGACATCAACTATATCCGGGAGTTCATCGTGCTGTATTCTATTCAAAAAACACGTAACAGGCCTTTGGTTATGGTTACCTGATAGGTGCTGATTTCTTGGTAGTAACAGGCCTTTGGTTATAATTACCTGATTTCTTGGTGATTGCCTGATAGGTGCTGATTTCTTGGTAGTAACAGGCCTTTGGTTATGATTACCTGTAGGTGCTGATTTCTTGGTAGTAACAGGTCTTTGGTTATGATTACCTGTAGGTGCTGGTCGTCATATTAAATTAAATTGGTTTTTACATGTAGTGTATTAAATTAGTTATTGCATACTTGATACATACGCGTCACTTTTGCGTTTACCTCCATCTATTAATTGTTTAACTTTATGTTTCATTTTGAGTTCGTTCAGTTTGAAAAAATCTGCTGGAGTCAAAAGCTGTTTTATTTAAAAAAAAAAAAAACATTCCCAATTATATATCATTAATACGTAAAATACGTAAAGCAACAAAAGAGACGGAAAAATCTATTCGTACTTGTGTTGTTGCCAAGCTTGAAATCTTTTTATCTTTTGTAGTCTCTCCTACATATCCTTCATGTTTTTCTTCATTGTCACATTTTCACTATCAGCTTTATCGTCTTCAACATCTTCAATTCATCATCTCTATCGCCATCATTTTCATCAACCATTTTCATCATCGTCTTTATCATCTTCACTTTCATCATCGTCTTTATCATCTTCATTTTCATCATCTGAAACATCATTCCAATCTTCGTTTGATGAAGCATTAGAAACTACTTCCCATCCTACCTATTCTTTGTAATATAGTATATATATATATATATTGAATATAAAGTTGATGCAAGCTTTAAGAATATAATGACAATTATATACTACCATCTTCCTCAGCTCCTGTCACACCCTCCTGCATTTGTTGTTTCTTATATTCTTCTAATAATTCTATACCTTCAATTTGTTCAGTCGTACGTATTTTACCATTCTGTAATGGTTTGAAATTTTTCATATTCATACTAGCAATTTTACCCTATAAAGTTCAGAATTGTAAATTTATCGATTAACATGAATCATAAATAAATTTCGAAATAATAGAAATATACCCGATCTTTTCTTTTCAACATTTTCCGGATTAATTTCCCGAAATAATCCAATTAATGATTTAGCTGCCATAATGACCCCCTTATCCCTATCTGATTTATATTCTGTTAGATCTTGTAACAAAGTAGAATCTATTGCTAAGGGTTGACGTGCACAAATCTCGCGTATAGCGTTCAAACTATAAAAAATTTTTTTAAATTATCAAAAAAATGTAATCAATTTATACATTTGAAATTTAATAAAACTTACCCAGCTGCCATGACTTCACCAGTTTTAGTAAGAGGTTCCAACACATCAGGTGGTACCAATTCATGACAAGATTGAGCAATTACAACAAGAATCATTGTTACATCACGTTGGTGCGGTTTAAGATACTTTAATATATATGTATAAAAGCTTAATAAGATAAGTTTATGTATTCCAATTATACGTAATATAAGATTCATTGTCATTAATTTGACTTCAAATTTATCATTATTTGACGATTTTTGAAGTGATGATAATAATTTTTCGCTGAATCCTAATCATATTAAATTCATATTAAATTGTGAAAAAAAAATGTTTCAAATTCAATTATAAAAATTTATGTTACTAAACAATAGGTTACCTTGAGGATCATTTAATAAATGTAATGTGGAAAAATTAAAATTTTCTTT